AACATCTGCTGATCCACCTTAAGAATAAAGTTCACTTACTGTGTTTCTCTCAGCACTGTATATACCAGACTGTCTATAACTCCACCACTGGCAGAGTCAATTAGCTTTTAAGCAAAGCAGATAATCATCTTTTTATATGTATTTGTGGGTGGAGGTTAATTCAATTCATTTATGAGATTAAAGTTGAACCTTCTCACCACACATTCCATTGCTCCTATTTTGTATAAATATATGAGCATTAAGAAAGGCTAATAATAATTTCTGATGCTCTGAATTGTTATTGTTGTTTCTGCTGCTGCTGTTCAATCTGGATACTTAGTTCCCTCAGTGTCTTATTACATGCATCCCTTAATGAAGCAGGAATGGAATCACTGTTTGTTATATCAGCAGGGGTCTGAGGACTGTCCTGCATAATTGGGAAGTAAGTGGAATAGATATGCGAATGTGAATAAATAAGCCAAATGTAATTAATGAGGACCAATGATTCGGCCGGTGATAATTAAATCTGCCGTGTTTTTCAATTTGCATGATTAAGATGTTAGTTAATGTTATGTTGTACCCACACGTTACAGGTTGTTCATTCTCAAAATGTCAACATATCAGAATTCTCAACACTGCACTTAATTATCTTCAGGAGCTTAAAAACTATCAGCTAAATCAATTAACTTTAATCTGCAACCAATTAAAGTGTGACTTTAAGGAATGCTAATGTGCCACATGCTGCACTTATATCTCAACCTGCTCCAACACAGACGTCACACAAAATTTTCTCAGAATACTAAAGCGCGTTTGTGCGCGCATATTGTCTGAACAGGAAATGTTAAAGCAGGATACGAATTTTTTCCCCAGCTTTCTCTCACGCTCGACTCAAAATTAAGTTTTATTTTATGCTGTGTTTTATGATTCAAAAGAGGTCAGAAGTGATTTGCATATTTTGACATTTAAACATTCACAGCAGCTCAGATAAATAATTTTTTTAAAACCTGCCTGAAAATCAGCAGCAGCGGTTTTGAAGGAGCAGAACTGAAGGAACCAGTCTGAGTACTCAATTCTGCTGTTAACACTATACTGTCACATGGAGAGGACAGTACTTGACAATGAAGAACAACCAGTATTTCTGAGTCTTTCATGTCCACCAGCCATAGGCATATTTTGTGGAGTGCTTCTACAGATATGTCAATTCTGTTGACAAGGAGGAAGAATAAGAAGAGGATAAAAGCAATGGTCATTTCAAATGCAGGACCCCCCTACCTTCATATCCCACACCACCCATACTCCTAAACTGCATTGAAACTCATTGTTGTTGTTTTTTTATTCCACCAGATGGGCCAGATCCTGATATTACACAGTGTTGGTCTATAAGTGTACACAATGTTCATGCCGCAATAACAAAACAACACTGCAATTGAATATGACAACATTCATTTTTAGCCTTCCAAAACAAGCCATGACAGAGGGACAGGTGGTTCAAAGAAAAGGCCGGTGTCGACTTTCACTAGGTGATGGGAGCTGTTGTCCCTGGTACAGGCTCTAGGTTTTTGCAACTTTAAACAATATCATGCTTCCATCTTTCCTTCTGAGAGATTGAATAAGTTTATGTTTGTGATATTTCAGACAAACAACTAATTCCGAAAATAACCAGCAAATTAATGGATAATGAAAACAAATTCAATGCAATGCAAATTCAATACAATGCAAATTCAAAAGCAATGAAAGCATTCAAATACATTTTAATCAAGTGGATCTATTGAGCGGTGAACACAGTGATCTAAGACAGGAAGCTAGTGCTGCAGTAATAAGATGCTGTAATATGACACGGGTAATGAGACACTGCATAGTTTTACTTAGTTAGACGTGCTACCACTTCTTTACTTAAAACACATTTATAGGGCATAATGGACACAGGACTGTGGATGAATTATTTAAGCTAATTGGGAGAAAAGCAGGTGACTCACTTGGTAATGTTTCTGATTTGAAAACAATAAAAACTGACTTAACATTTGTCTCAGCTGAGAATCAGAAATGACCCTGAGGCAAATTGTTGTCATTGTGGGCACCTTTTCAGAGAGTGTTAAATATCCTGCAGCACATAATGTATGAGCAGGGATGAGCTCGGCCAGCCATGTGCCAATTGTACCTGCAAAGACGAGGCTAGCGGTCACACAGCAGGGGTGGGGGTGAGAGCAGGGGCTCACCAGCAATGACAGCGAAGAAGGACAAGTAAGGCAAACTAAAGAAGAAACATTAGGCTAAAAACACACTTCACGGTTGCCGCATCCCAACCACGGCAATGCTGCTTCAAGGTAAACTGCTCATCAAGATGAGTGTTGAGTCGGAAACTTGGCCAAATTAGGGTGCGGGGGGGGGGGCGACAGTAGGGTTATTTACATAAATGGGTCTTTGAGGGTGTAGACACCTGCTGTAACAGGCCCGTACATGCTTCTGAGAATCATCCACGTGTGAATATCCATAAGTGTGGGCATGCTTGGGGTTCAATTGAACCATGAATAGACAACCAACAAATAACATGCAAACAAATCGAAATCAAACAATGAAATTTTCACTCAGTAACAGTCCCTGCGGTGGTGACTGGAGCTTCAGACGTGGAGGTCTGCGGCGCACGCTGCTCCAGCTCTGTGATTAATACCACTGACAAAGCAGTAACTAATGATCGATTGAGGATGCTTGGGTTCTAAAGACCATTTCCCCTTCACTTACTTTGCCTTTTACAAAGCCATCTGATATTTTGATCACTGGCAGGGGCCATGTCAGTGGAATTAATCACTAATTTAAAGCTGAAACCTTCTCATTTGCACAGAACTCGGCTCACAGAAGGAGATTTTGAATGATTAGATGGTTACAGATTCACCTGATGTCAAATGGAGCTTTCATCCTACCTTTTAAAGAGAGACATGAATATCATTGGCGCTGACACATTTTTATTTCAGTATATATTCTTGTATTAAGCATGAGTTTTGGCTTTGCTTTAGTGCTTGACACTTTAACTGTGTCGCGTTAGGTTGTGCATGTGTGTGACAGAGTGAGAATAATATATAATATATTATATAATAAATGTAAATAATAATTATACTCCGAGAGCTCCAGTTACTGTTATGTGTTTTTTCTTTTTTCTTTTTCTGTTTATTCACTTTAAGGACTGAGCAAGTCATTTTTTTTTTTTTTTCAATCTATACATACCCTCAGAATGTCTGTCAATAAGATCTTAATTCATATTGAGCACGAGACACACAGCTCAACATTTACAGGCTAATGTATTATGCAGCAGGAGCTTTTAAGCAAGATGATTGGAGAATTCCCATCTGAAACGCAGCTGCAACATCAAAGCCTGAGTGGGAGGAAAATTAAATGGTATAGAAATAAATAATTGTAGACTTGATGTATTTGCTAATTGGGATCTCTGGCGCTTGGGTCAAAAGGCCTCCACCAGGCAAAAACCTTTATGAGAAACAATTCTATTGTGTTAAAGTGGAAAGGTTGACAGCATGCTCTCAGCAACTCTCAGACCTGAACTGGATCCAGACTTCTCCAGAGTTTTCATTCACATTCACAACAAAACCAAAATCTATTAATTTCACTGCGGAGATAATGTGTTTTTGTCTACAGCACACTGACTCCTGTATTGGCCCTTATTACTAAAAGCTCTACTGAGCTCTTCGTTGCTTTTTTCAGTTTGTATTCTTTTTCATTTTCCATTTTTGCATATGTCACTTGTTAGAAACATTACCATCACCATCCACTCACTCATAGGAGAAACTCCGGAGCAAATCGAAGGCCTCTCACTCTAACATATGTGTTTTCAAACACAGCCCCTCCTGAGAATGTGAGGAGATTATCCGGAGTGCAGTGGTCTGAAAGCAGTGTTTGACTTTTTACCAAGTGTTATCAGTGGACACACGCTGGGCTGAGTTTGACGTCAGCATGAAAACAAAACACTTGTTGAGGACAAGTGTGATGTGTTTCATGAAGAAATTATCCCAGCTGAAGAGAAATAAGTGTGTGGGGGGGGGGCATTCGCTGCTGATGCACTAATAAGGGCTGGGCCCCAAAGGCCTGCCTGGCATGCTGCTGCTGCCAAGTAGCCAACCAAACACTAGAGGGCTCTCTCCATGGGTAACCCCGTCTGCTGTCACTCATGCTGCTCCTCCTACACACACACACACACACACACACACACACACACACACACACACATTCTGCTTTGCAATGATGAACATGACCTTTTCGCTAACTGTCTTAATAAGACCTGTGTAAGTCTTCCTCCGCTCCTTGTCTGTTTTGTCACACAGTTTCTTCCCGTGTGCATTCATGTATCAAGAATACAAATGGACTGAGCCATTGAACGGGCAGTGTAAAGGCAAAGAGAGGACGTGAGGCTGACTGTGTAGTTCTTTACTTTCCATTGTGGCAGCAGGGGAGAAAAGTGTACGCGTGCGTGCGGGTGTGTGTGTGTGTGCCCATCTGTCCCTTGCTTATCCCTATCAAATGACAGTGTAAACGAGCAGCCTCAGCGTGTCAGGCCAGCTATTTCATTTCACTAATAACTAATAAAGAAAAGTGCGGGGCCAACTCATGCCTCCATACAGAGAAGAGTTAGAATGTGAGAGGAAAAAAACGGATGAGAATATTTTACCTGCTCCCTAATATCTACAGCCATACAGCAAAGTGAGACAATAACCTTTGCGCGTCCGTGCCGGTGCGGAGCGGAGAGCGCGCATTCATTTGTGCGCCTGTTGAACCGGCTCCTCATCAACCCAATGAACGCGCGGAGGGGAGGCTCTCTTCGCCGCCGCTCATCTCTCCTCCATCTCCTCCTCACTTTTCCAGTCGGCCAGCAAGCCTGTCGGAGCTCTAACAACTACAAGCCCACAAACACTGTCACTCCGCCTTGACAACACGCAGGAAGGATTTCTAGCTACCTCCCTCTCAATTTTGCCATTTTTCTCTTTTTCCCCTCCACAGTCTCGAACGAAACCCGTTGACTTTTTTTTTTTTTTTTTGCGTATTTTGAAGGGAGGGGAAAATGGTGAAATGATGCAGCAGCGGAAAAGGATGCAAGTCTCACGAGTAAGTATAGCCCGCCATCATGCAAACCCTAACAGGTACCAGTGTTTTGCATGAGTGTTTTTGTGGAGAGGTTTAACAGGACCTGTCCCTGTTTCTCCATCGCGGGGCTAAAGTCAGTCTTCCCGGCGCGTTTGCAGGAGCGAGGTGACACGGAGCGACAGAGCAAGTCTACAGACAGCTCTGCAACTTAGGCTGCCTCCTTAATTCGCATTTCACTTGCCTTTTGTCGGCGGAGTAATGCGCACATATAAACATATAGATACACAACCCAGGATACAGTACGGTTATATTTTACGCGTGTGCGCTCCAGCCCCATGTTCCATGCGCTTAAATGGACTGACTGGAAACACTGTCTCCTCTAAGGGTCAAAAAATAAAAACTTCACAGAGAGGCAGAATTTGGTTACTGGTGGTATGTGCTGCAGACTATGTCAGACGTGTATAAAGACCAGAGGTCGTTTTAAACTTCATGGGTGAATATGTGGTTTGACTTGTTAATTCCAAAACGCATCGCTCCTGTGTAGAGTTTCTACCTTGGACAGCTCCTCCGCTGCCGGTGCGCAGTTCTCCGCAGAGCCGCCAGCACGGGCTGCTTTCCGGCGGGGAGCTGTCCTCTATCCCGTGGTGCTGAAGCCGGTTTGCTTACGCACGCACTGAGACTTCATAATAAAAGATACAATAAAAGATACGAGGGGAAATTACTGTTCCGTGTCAGGGCCATAGTTTTATATTTTAACAAGTTTATATTTTCTTATTCATTTCCTCTCAATTAATATATATTTTTATTATTATTAACCCCTGAGTCTCCGGGTCGGAGTCTATAGCTGGAGACTGTCACAGTAACTCGGCTCTCTCCGCACTTTGTGATGTTGCAGCTGCCTTCAGGTGGAATACGTTGCAGCTTATTGTCCTTGGAATCGCGCTGCTGGATCCATTCTTTACTCCACACCATACACACGTACTGTGTGTGGTGAAAAGTTATCAAAACTAACACTGACACATGTGCTGACACCAAACCATTCGGTGCTGTGAAAGCATGTCCACCTGCATCAGTTTTATATAAGTCTTTGTGTCTGTGATTTTTGCCTTTGGTTTTTGCATTCTGGTGAACAATGCACACCAGAGTGTGGAACACAGCCACTGAGCTGGTGAGAGGGATGTTCAGGCTAAAACTACTATTGATTAAAGGGCAACATTTACAGTAGGTTCAGGTTCTGTTGTATTTAATTAAGTTATTTTCAGTTTTTTAAGTTTATATCAGTGCTTCACAGAAAACAGTTCAATGTAATATAACATATTTGATTCTGAGAACATGCCTCTGAACACCTTCTCATTTAATCACAATCGTGTGGATTACTGTATCCGTGAGCTGCAGTGCTGTTGACTTTGTAGAGCTCACCTGCAAACAGCCTCTCGGTTTAGAGCTGACATTATTGCACGCACGCATGGATGTCTAAGAAATCTGATTGTGGCATAAAAGGATATTTCACCCCAAAATGTTCTGTGAAAACATTAATCATACGGAAGATGTAATTGCTTACAATCTTTCCAGGATAATCCCCAGAACAACAGATTAAAGCAAGGCAATCTAATGTTGTGGGCTGAATAGCCTTAGAGTGCAGACATGCCCATTTGTGGTTCAATTGTAGCAGGATAATATGAAAAGCAGATCGGAATAAAGGGTCACGGCTGCTACAGATAGATCACTCATGATGAAGTGACATCTTGACTTCTTGTCCTATAACAAGAATTCGTGTCTTGTTATTTTTGTAATCCCCTTTTATCTGTTTTCTTGCCCTAGAAGCAGATTTGTTCTTCTGTCTATCACTCTGTCTGTCTCGTCTGATTTCTTCAAATGTTTATTTGACCCCGGTTGCTTATTCCATCCTCCCCCTTTCTTCTCCACCTCCTGACAAACCTTCACAGAATGAAAAGACAGCTAACAAACTGTGATTGCTCCCTCATAGGTCTCCCGCTCGGAATAACGCCAAATGGATGCTGTGCTGAGTGCCTCAGCCCTTCACCAATCGCTATGGAGGCATACCATGCAAGTGACCTTTATCACACCATGAATGCAAGCTCCGCCGTTGAAAGAGGACACAAGTAACCTTTTCTTGTTACCTAAGGAGCTGTTGATCTGAAGAGAGTGGGGGAATCAAGACACCGAGACAGAAGAGTCTCGTTAAACAAACAAATACAAAACACACGACGACAGGATGCCAAAGCGGTCTGAGGAGATGCTCATGGATCTGTGGATGTCCTTGCTGCTGGTGTGGATTACTTGTGCTCCCCGTGTGTCTACGACTCCTATCGTAGGCCAGTCCAAAAGTATACAAACTGGTGGGTCCGCAGCAGTGGCGAGCGGTCTTGGCGAAGGACAAAGATTACTGAGCCGCGCCAAGAGAGGATGGGTTTGGAATCAAATGTTTGTGCTGGAGGAATTTTCTGGACCTGATCCAATTCTAGTTGGCAGGGTGAGTGCTGTGATTGTCAGCATTATATTAAGCTCGCTTATCATGTGGAAACATTAATTCGGCCATTTGAATGCTCCCTCATTTTTTTTTCTTTTTCTTCCCATGGGCAGCGGGAGGGTTTTGGTTGTCAAGGGGAAGCAGAGATATGGGGACAAGAGAAGGGGGGGCAAGGGGAGGGGTGTGTGTGTGTGTGTGTGTGTGTGTGTGTTTATGTTTGTTTGTGTGTGTCTGTGGTGGAGAGGGGCTTTTGGAAATTATTAAACTCCCATCAAATAACAGTGGTGACATTTTTTTCTCTTTGGGATGTCCAAGAATCTAACAATCAGTTTAATGGTCAGAAAGATGGTTGTGGTGTGTTTTTCACTCTCTGCCACAAAAAAACACTTGACAACAAAATGCCCTTACCCATTTCTTTTTTTATTTCCCCTTCTTTCCCCTCATCATTTTTTTTCCTGAATAGGCATAACACAGGAATTGTGCAAAGAAGGCTGCTTTAGCTATAGTTCATTTCTCCATTACGATTCTGTAACAAACAGAACTGTGGGCTACTCCTGCAGCTGAGGGCCACCTGCTCCCTGGCCTGTGTGGAAGTGTCAGGTAGGTTTCAGGGGAGGGAACGGCTGCTGGCCAGCCCGGCCAAAGCAGCTTGTTCACAGCTCATTGCTGGGACTCACCTGGGGAGAGTCAGCCTGGCAGCCACGTCCACTTCCCTCCCCTAGAATATCGCCCAGCCATTCTGGCACGGGCAGAAATGCAGGCCATCAAGCATAATATTTGATCTTGTTCAGTAATAGCTTTTGCAAACAGTGCTTTGGTGCCTAACATTTGATAATTGGTGGGTATGCCTTTCTTGTTTGTGACATATTGCCATCATGATGCATTAAATGATATGTTCAACCTTTCAGACTGGGCACTTAAGCAGAAGGGCTCGGTTGCGTTTTTTGATGCACAAGAAAAAAAAAACATTTAAAATTTTACTCTGTTTACTTTGTTTCCTGTTTGCCCTAACTCTATCTCAAGCATTGTCATATGGCTGCATCAATTAAACATTTGCCGCCATGCGGGATTTCCACCTGTGTTTTCTAAATACCATACAAACACAAAAATGCTGTTAAGTGATGCATTAATTTTTCAGGCGAGTCAATTAGGCAGCCTCTGCTGGATTCGACAGTGGCTGCTCATCAGAAGGCTGAAACATTCAAACACTCACTGGGGCCTCTGTGACCGGACATGAGATTGGTATTTGAAGGTTAGATTGCAGCTGTGAGACACTGAGCATCAAAGATTTGACGGATCACCTGGCAAAATGTTGTGCTTTATAGACATTTAACCTGAAAATGTTTCCTAAAAAAGTTTAAAAAAAGGCACAAATGGAAACCACACAAGCGAGGCAACAGTCAAAGACTAAGAACACGCTCATGACAGAGTTTTGATTCGTAACTACAAGCTCACACTGCTCGCACTGTGCTGTGTGCCTCCGGCCGGAGCGTGCCTCGTTCTGCAGACTGTCAACAGAGAATTGGTTGCACAAAATGAAGCTGTTCTCAGTCAAGAAGGATAAATGCTCTGAAGGTCTTAGTTAATGTTTTGCTACAAACACGAGTGTTGGGCAGGGTTCGTCACAGGTCTAAGCATCTTTCTGTTGAAGGACGATGCAAAGGATTGGGTGCGGGATAGAGGGGCAGCTGCGGATGAAGAAAAACGCGGCTTGCCGCTTGTGAGGCGATGATGATGGGTTGCGTTCATTGCAAGGTTAAGTGCTCATGAGTATGCCTGGCAGAGCTAAGATAAGTCCTTTGTTAACCCAGATGAGAACTGGTGTTGGTTTAAGAGTATAAATCTCTCTCCCTCCCAGTTCCTCCATCTAGTTTTTCTACCCTTTTCTCTGAGTTTTTCACAGTTAATTAAAAAATGAATCAAATGGGTGGGAGGTGTGATTCAAATGGGTCATACAGCCCTCTTTTATTTTTCACAATTTCCTTTGCTGTGTGAGGCTGCATCTATCTGTGGTTGTGGGCTGATTGTCAAGGAAGTCCAGGCCAAGGCTGGACTCTTTCCATCCTATACTTTTTTTATTGCTGGTGCACTCTGAGGTTTAATTATACTCGCATCCCAAATCTTTGTCGGTGACCGGGCTCCCCCTCAACTACAGCAACACTGGAACTGAGAGTGAGAGACAGTGTTTGTGAGAGGGACAGAGAGAGATTGTGCCATCGATTTTCAACGGCGTGCCGTTTGCCGTGTTCTTTCTCAGCACCCTATTTAGCATTTAATGCATGAAAGCAAGGGGGACGAGGGGAGGCGGAGGTGGGGAAGAGTGAGAAGGACGGCCACAAGGCGTGACAGCACCCTTCCTTTTCACTGTTCTTGTTCAGCGCGTCGTTTTCGTGACATTGTGATTCACTGAGCGGCGCGTTCGTCAGCCCCCCGTCAGTCCCGGGGAGGCAGGCGTGCAGTACCTGTTAAAGTGAAGCAGGGGAGACAGCTGTGAAAGCTTGTTGCTCGGCTGTAGCTTAAAACGAACACGGTGTTGGAAGGGATTTTAGGATTACTCATCATGAGCCAGGGACAGTTCAGAAATAACCCATCATTAGGAGCAGAAATAGGCAAATGGAGTGCGAAGGTAGATAGGCCCTGAACCGACTGATTTAGGTGACGCACATTTGCTCATTGTTGATGACGAGTGGGAGATACCACTCCAACGAGTAATGACTCTCATGTAGACCTCTGGAAGGAAAAGAGAGGGTAATTTTAGGCAAAGCAGCTCTTGATTTGCCAATCGCAGATACGTAATGAAAAATTATAGCCTGGGTTTTAAAATGAAATGAGAGTTCAGTCATTTCTAGGTTGCAACCTCATCGAAGACTTCGTTTAATTTTCTGGCCAATCCAGATATTCTGCAGCGTTAGCCCAAAAGTTTGCCATTTCAATCAAAGCTATTTCAATTATTCAAACATACAAAGAAGCAACTCATTTAAATTTGGCCATTAAAGACAAAACAGTGCCTTAGAACAAAAGACAAACAGTGAACAAATTGCTGTATGTGCACCAAAGAGAAAGCACAATGTGTTTTCTTTGTAGCGTTAGTTGGATTGATGGCAGTTAGCGCTGGAATTTCTCACAACCTCGGACGTAACTTTCCCAGACTCCTTTTACTTCCTGGCGATCATTTAGCATATGGTGTGGAATAATGATGGATTTAAGTCTGCTGAATTGTAGTGCAGATGTGCTAAATTCACTGGTCCCTCATCCAATTGTCCAACACTTTTATCTGCCACAGCATCATGTGTTTCTTCTCCACAAAGAGAATTGATTATCGAGCATTAATATTCATCGATTCTGGCTGAACTGCAAGATTGCAAAGGACTGACAGCAACATGGAAAGAAAAGGAAAGGCTTTGATTATTGATTCAGAGAAGACAATGGATATATCTGTTTGAATAAAGAAGAAATAGTAACTTTGTGTATGTGCTGAGGAGAAGGACGCACAAGCTTCGTTCTTCCAAACAAGTTGTTAGACAGGATTCCCAACAAGAAGGACCAACGCAGGACCAGATTGCTGGTGTAATGTAAGAATGTAGGTTTTTTTGGTACAAGCAAAGGCGGTGTCCGTAACATACACACACACACGCACACGCACACATGCACACATACGATACCCTTTTCTAGTTCTGACTTGTCTCAAATGTTTCAATCGTTCTTACTTGCTTTCCCCTTCACAGCTACATTTAGCTGAAACTGTAATATAAGTCAAGATTGGAGTTTCTTTTTGTTTTGGCTCAGTTTACCACCCTGATGTGGACCTGAGTAAACCCTTTTTTATCTGGGATAGTTTTCCGAATTCACTTTAGTCCTCTTTGCTGCTTTTGTTGCTTTCTGCACTTTCGACTGCAAGTACAAGATGTGGGACATCAGTCTATAAATACTGATGCGAGAGCTACTTCTGCTCGGCTGGATTGCCTTTCTCTGTCTCTGTCCCCCTCACCTCCGCCTCTCTTACTCTCTCTCAGTGATGGGGGCGATTATGGAGAGAGTGACTCTTGAGCCAGAGTAAGCTTGGCTCCAGGGGCCGACGGGGTGTGGTACGACGGCATTGTTAAAATATCTCCAAGTGTTTGGCTTTGGTGGTGCGAGGCAGCGAGGCAAAGCTAAGCGGGATTGAGTCCTGAATGCAGCTGCGAGGGCAGCCTGAGACTCCCATGTCCTGCCAGAGCGACCTACTGTTGCTGGTTTACAACAGATCAGAGGTTGACCCCCCCTCTTGACTGAGTCATGCCAGTGTAGGACCCCTCCCTGGACACACTGGCTGCAGCTATTGAGCCAGTATAAGACTTGGCCTTAGATTGATGGATGAGGAGGGGGGGTTAACGAGAATATTAGCTGAATTATTGCTAGTGATTGATAGTCATTATGACACAAATTATATGCATTGGCTCGGATATAATACATTCTCAAATATAGCTCACATTAGACACAGGTTCCCATGCATTAGTGAGAGAGTTGAAGCAAAAACTGTCATTCAATTCAGGAAAAGAAGACCCTGTCAATGTTTGCTGGACTTAATTTCATTCCATTTGGTTTCTCACACCCACAGCAGCTCCTGGAATACAGCTCTGTAATCTCTCTTCAGGCAGCACCACAAAGATCCATATTGAGCTGCAGCCTCGCAGCAGCTCCTCTGTCTCTCAGGCCTTAGATCTCCATTCACTCCTCTTGTGTAATTTAGAAAAAAACATGCTAACACTCCTCTGTCCTTCGCTTCTTCTCCCCTCTGTTCCTGCGCTCCTCTCTTTCCCCATGGCTCACCTGTACAGTAGTGTATATCACTAATGCTGGCAGGGCCAGTATATCAATGGGCCATGGTCACAGTCTCCCTCTTCCTTTCCAATCTCTCCCTGTGTCTGTCCCTCCCGGTCTGTAATAAAACACTGGGCCCAGCGGTGGCTCTGATAGAGCTGTGAGATCACATTAGTGCTGCCCTCGAAGAGCTTGACAGGTTG